TTAACTTGTCTGTCAGCTCACTCTACATTGGAATAGGTATGTTACCATGTGAGTGATTCTGTACAGGTGTTACACTCTCCTCTACCTCATTGTACCTGTAATATTGGTATGTGCCAATGTCACCTACATATGTACTGAGTAGGCTTTCAAATACATCAATTACTGTTACTGTTTCTAGTTCAAGTCCGGTATCAATTAACATGGTTCACTACAGCATCAGAGAATTTTATCAGGTTCAGTCTTTCACATGCACTGCCTGACAGAAACTGGTGATTATCCTTAACTTCCAAGTGAAAAAGTAACAGTAATTTGAAGCTACATGAGCCCAATGGTTGTGTTCCCAATTTTGCTGAATATCTCCTTTTAAATCAGCTGAAACATGCACCTATCACTCCCATTAATTCTGCAATTACAAAGAAACAGTCCAAGTTGCCTTTAATAACATCATTTTACCAGGTTGGGTGAGTCACTTGAGCAAAGAAAAGATCTGAAATATAACAGTTCATGTATATGTATAAGTAACTCTGAAGTTGTGAATGCTACAGACTTAATTTCCCTGAGTGGCTTTATCCAAATAATCATTAATTCTAAAAGTATTATGAAGATTAAGGAAACAAAAGATCTTCCATGATTCTGCCACAAGACACCTGTACTTCATTTCAGACTAGGTGATGCAGGAATTCATTGTGTAGGGGAAAACATGGCAGGACTTGATTAAAACGCTTGGTTTGGTACTTATGCAGGAAAACATTAATTGCCAAAATTGTGGAAAAAAATCACCGTAAAAGTAATCCAATCCTGCAGATTTCCAGAAGCAACTTGTCTTTTAACAAAAACCACTCAGTTCAAAAGTAAAACAGAAATATGTACATTTTTTAACATAAATATGAGGCAAACATCACCAAAATCGTACAAATAATAATAATTAGGTAGATCACAATCCGCTAGGGGTGCTACAGTCGTAACTGTCCACGGGCAGTGAAGTGTAAAACTGAAGTCGGCCTGCTGACAGTTCGCCTATGGAACCCCTTTTTTAAATCTCTCTTTTAGCGCCGGGTAAAAAAACTAATACAAGCCATTAACTAAATAAGTTGTAAATCAAAGAGTAAAATCCGGTCACGTGATTTTCCCATGTTGCAGTCTTTGACAAGTTTCGGTTCTGCTTGTTTTAAGCTTTGCCTCTACAAAATGATAAAAAATTTCAG